GGTATTTTTTTAATGGATAAGTATCATACCGAAATTTTAAGCACAAAAAAAAAATTACGATTCAAAGTTTCTCCTTAAACATAGGCTTCGAAAGTAAATATCATAACTCTATATTTTTTGTTAAAAATATATATATATTTAAACTATTGACTTCTATTATAATACAGAAATTATATTTTAAATATATTTATTTAATATATTTTCTACCGATTTTATTTCTAAATTATTTTTCAGAGTTTATTGTAGTAAGTTCCCGTTTAGCGAACAACTTACAATAGTAATATTAATAAGTCGCATGTTAGTTCGACGACTAGCACGTGGCTCAGCAAGTCTGAGTTAGCATATGTCAGGTGTTTGATGGGTGACTTTGCCTATTTTTAAATTTATATTTTTCATATTTAATTATATTATTAAAATGGACTTCACTGTAGCATAAAAAATGTTGAAAATGTCCAGAAATAACATTTATATTGCCTATATGCCGTTTGACACTTTGCATATAGGTGTCTCCGTGCATGAAAGTGCAAGATTCATCTACCTACCTCTCAGCCCGTCGCTTGCCTTCTCTATCAGGTAAGATTATTATGTCCAGAGACTAATAAAAAAGCGTCATATTATTGGGCTCTCAGTACCTCACTCAGTATCGCGCTCGATACTGACAGCGGTACCGCTCGGTATCCTCGGTATGCTGACCGGACAGAATAATTTTTCAGAAAGGCCAACAATTCCATTCAATCTCCACTCCCTATTCTACTACACAAGTAAATCCGCTCAAAATCCTAGCCACTCCATCAATCTCAAACGACGTCACACAACATCTCCCGTTCTCAGTCTCCTCCTTCACCTCACGCATTGATGCTGCTCCTCCCTTTATCCCCACTCGAACAGCCACTCATACTCCACACCTCACCAACTTGCTATATCCATCAAATCCAACTGCTCCCTTCGAGTTAACTCCTCATCCACCTACACCTCACGCCCCATCTCCCTCATCTCTATCATTACAGGGAAATCCTCCATTACCGTCAGACTTTCCAACGGACATACATGCATCACAAAAAGTGGCAGACTAACAAGCAGAAAATACGCTAATAAATTTACGACAGAATCACCGGCACACTTTCCATTTTTACCGGTAAAAAGGCATTGTCATGTAGTGTGTGTGTGCACACTAGCCCACACACGCAAGTGTTGAACTCCCTTCCTCCCTCTTCTCAGGTGAAATACCTCTCACACGAAATTAACAAGTACTTGCAATCACTCAATCTGCACCCAACCTCATACCAAAACCAAAACCCAAAATCCACACTCCAAATTGCCTTTGCAGCACAAAAAAAAGTTATAATTCATAAAGCTTAAAAATTTCATGCAGGTACACGAAGATTCACTCATCCCTGTTTTGATGTAGTAGGATAAAAAAATACAAGGACTGGCGTCTTTTTAAACGTAGCAGGCAGGCCCACTCGTGCGTGCTTGTATGTATATATATAATATTAATGATATGAGAAATCACTCTAACTCCAATAATTTATCATTATAAGTACCAATTGATTTGATAAATACAAGTGCTAACATCTATTATTTAATTGAAGTCTAATTCTATCTTCATATTATCCTTAAGGCAAAAATAACATGAGGTTGATCCACTGATGTTTGCAGCTAGATAAAGTAATAACAAAAATTTTTGGAATCATAAATTTTTCATTTGATCAGACGCATTATAATGTCATTTTTGGATCTATCTGAAAAACTGTTTAAAATAATTGAGAACTTCTGGAATTTATTTTTTATAAGCAAATAAATGGTTTTGAATTTCACACATTTATAGACGGTATGAATGATTCCAAAGATAGCAAAATTATTGAAGTT